GTCCCCATCTCAAACACGTCTCTGCCCTCCCACGCCCCATTGGCTTCTTTATTACATTCTTTTCGAAATAGTCGTGACTCTTTGGAGACATCGAAGTATCAAATCGTGGAGATATGCTCCCAGAAACAGGGGTCAGCATATTCATTTTTGCCCACTCGTTGATGTTTTCTATCTCTCGTGGACACCTCCCCACTATCGTCTTCTTCTGTTTCTCAACTTCAGCAAACATCTTCTGTATCACTACTTTATCCGCCACATTGTTGTTGTTTTGAATCGCATTCGAAAGTTCCTCATTCATCCCTTTCACAAGAACTCTCACTGCCTCCAACTTGCTTTCAATCATGAAATACGACACAGCCTCATTGATACCAACTCCATGTTTAACCAACACCCCAATTTGTGGGATCACACTCTTCACGTCAGAAGACACCATCACATAAGGACGGTCCATCAAGTAAAAAATCAGTGCGCGCAGCTCCTCCATCTCAAAGTCAGACCAGTCGTCTTCTATCACACCAACACTCGCGCTTTTGTCGGCAACTTGGTGTGTGTTATAAATGTCAAACAACGTCGTTGTCCGTGTCTTTGGGTTTTGAAGAAGTGTTTCTGGAAAGGAAATACTCACTGTCGGCGATTGAAGAACAATAAGCGATTTTGTCGCCATTCCTATTTTCGAGTTTTCTCCTCTTTTCTTTCATTGTTCAATTCTTCCCGTCTTAGTCCTTTAACTGACTGATTTCTTTACTTATTCCTTCGCTCTTCGTTTTACTATAAATTTATAATTATATTGTTATAATTATACCATTCATTTTTAGACGCCTTGATTCAAGTTATTTGATATATATTTCTATCTCTATTAGTAACTCAAAGTCCTCTAAATTGTCTGAGTGAACAAGACGAATCGACTGAATTACAAAACGAAGGGCTGGTAGAGTTCTTGCATCACGAAGACGTGATTGTCGTTACCTTTGGCTTCTATGTACCCGACCTTTTCCACGCAATCGCCTTCTGGTCTTTTGTCGATGAGGACCCCAAGTCTTCTCGAGAATTGGATATCAAGTTCTGTCGCTGCAATGTAAATATCTTTGACATCCAAGCAGTTATCCGCGTTGATGAACTGATTATACTCGACGATCCCTTCCACAAGTCTTTTGATGTTGTTCCAGACCTCCTGGATTTTAGTCTTCGTCAATGGCGTTATAACAAAATTATTCTTCACAACAAGCTTTTCTAGACTGGCTGCTTGTCTTCTCAGTGAGGCGACTTGATTGAAATAATCTCTTACGGAGTCTCCTGTTGATGTTGTCACCGACACTGGTATATTGATTTCACCCGTTTCTTTGTTTAAGTACTGCATCAGATCTATAAAAGTGGGCGGTGGCATGACGTTGAGGGCGTGGATGATTTGTGGCATGTTCACTATCCACAGCCAAATGCGGTGCGACGTCAAGAAAACGTCTTTTAGTGTTTGATTGCTTTGTTCCTTTATAACTTGTCGGAAGGTGTCCATTTGGATCTGGAAAAATTGGCGCATGTTGCCTACCATCTCTTTGTTCTTGGTGAAAAAGTCGTCTTGTTCTTCAAACGTCGCAAGTTGATGGAGATTCTTAAAAAGTCGACTAAAGTGTGTTGCCCAAGTACACCCGTCCGTGTACATCTGTTTCACAGACTCGGGAATATCGTTCTCCCCAGCTACAGGCAGTTGCGTTGGGGTTGCCGAGTAATACAGTTGAACTACAAATGGGATCTCAAAGAACTGTCTAACCTCAGCAATTTGAATTAAGTGGCAACTCTTTGTGATGTTATAGATGTAATTTGTTAACCCTCTTTTCCTTTCTTCAAGACTCTCTTTTGTGTGTACAAACAATTTAGGAGGTAAAGTAGTGATACACGGGTCATTTGTCACGTATTTGATTAAGTTGTGGAATGCCTCAAATTCACTGAACCGTTTTGGGGTTGTTTTCCAAATCTTTGCATTAACATAATTTGATTATAAATATGTTATTGAAGTAATGGGGATGGTATTATTCAAATAATATAATAATATATATTACTCTATTGAACACGGAAATAACAAACCTTCTTTTGTTTCCAAGTAAAAAGAATTGTGTAAAAATTAACGTTCTTGTCAACGTTGCTCACTGTGTCTTTGAGAGCTATTGTGAAATCTGTAGTGATGGCGCTTTGTTCTCCATAATAAGTATCAACGAGAGACATCTTTTCCAATTTATTTAGTTCCAAGAAATTTTTTTCAACTTCTTATGGAAAAGTTGTTTTGTTTTTCAAATTGTTTTTTAGTTTTTTTAAATTGCTTTTTGTTGTATTGATGGGTTGCAATGTTTATATACAAAAGTATCTATCGTGCGACATTATTATATCAAATGTTGATAAAATAAACAGTATTATTATATACAATATCATTTAATGTAATTATCAAATAATAGTAGACTTGAATATTGGTTCTGGTTTTATTTACATACAGTTAACCTTTTTACATTCGCTTAGATAATATGATAAACCAACCAGATAAGACAATAAATATAATCTATTGTATATTAGACCATTGTGAATTATTTGTCATTGGTAATTTTTGTATAAACAACTTCACTTTTTAATTTATTAAAAATGCGACTATTATATGAGATGGGAATAACAAATGATTAATGCGTTGTTATTTATAATAAAATGGATAAAAATATAAACAATACTTTTTTGTGTTCTTTAATTATTCAATAAAAATGATTACAAAATACAATCACTTCATGCCATTTTGGCACAGTTAATATTGTATATTGATATTTAAGCGAAATAAGCATATTTGAATATCATTTAATTCTACATTTAATTTTTAATAACAATTTTTCAATAAAATGAAAACAATATATAGTTATCAAAATGGGAGTAAATTGAAAACAAGAAGGGAGTTTTTGTTAAATTTGAATTGAAACTGTCAAAAACAATTTTCAACTCGATGATTAATATGATATTCTTTGTGTACATTTTCGTGTGTATATCATATTCAAAGCCGTCGTTAAAATCAAGGTATTTCAATTATGATAGATACGCAGATGAGTTCAGGCTTGATGATGATGTAAACTCACTTTTTTCATATAAAACAGAAGTTAATGACAATTTAGAGATAGATAGAGAGTTGACTGATGAATTTATTGATGAAGAGATGAACGAAGAACACAATGAAGAATACGACCTCCAATTTTTCTTCAGACTATTATATCAAATTGTGGCAGACAAAGATTCAGACATCGACCAAGTAGGTGTCAAAAGAGTTGAAAGTGGTGTTTTAAAATTAGAAAAAGCGATTCTGACAATGGAACATTTAGACCGAACACATTTGATCAAATGTGACGAATTTATACCCAAAAGTGTTGGTGCGACTGGAAATGGAGAAGAGGCAGACCTTAACCTTCAAAAAGCAAATGAATCCAAAAAGGTATTAAAGTTGGTGAACGACCTTTTACCACAATTGAAAGCCAAACAGAAAGAAATTTTAATGGTGCTTCCTATGAGAGAAAGAGTAAGATTGGCAAGACGTTTTGATTTTAGGCATCGCTATGATCTTATGTTTCAGTACGAACTTTTTCTTTAAATTGAATATAATTTATAATTAGTCTTTAATTAAATAATGTTTTATGTTCAAAAGTTGTGAAAACAACAAAATGTGACATATGAATAACTAACTAAAAGTTAACAACCACCAAAACTTGTATAACTCATTTTAAGAATTGTTTTGAAAATAACTTTAAAAAATGTAAATTACATACCATGAAGAATTTAGTTGTATTCGTGTTGTACATACTTGTAGTACATTCATATAACGAAGAGTACCAATTACAACAAAATAATGAAAACGCAATTGGTATGGGGGAGACGGGCATTTCACGTGTTGAGAACACTGTGCAAGCACTTGAGACCAAACTTGCTGAACTTGATGAATTAGAACGAAAAGTGCTAATAGCAATTGACATTGATATGAATAATGATAAAATGAAATTAGGAGGTAATAAGGCTGATTCTGCTATGAGTATACAAAAGATAAAAGAGGAAAAAGAGCAATTAGAAAAATTGAAGGACATCCGTCCGCGTCTTAAACACAAGATGCGTGAAGTGATTAAAGTCCTTCCCAAACGAGAGCAATACCGACTGATACGCAGAATGGATTTACGGCATCGATTTAACTTAGGGACTGAGATGGATACTTCTTAATCGAATTGACTTGTTATTATCAATTACAATACATTAAAAAAAGATAATAAAATATATGGTTTTTGCGGCACAACATAGCCAAAGCTTGGTTGTAATTTATAATAACCTTTTCCTCTGGCTAGATTAAATAAACAACAAACACAAATTTGTCATCAAAATTTAATCCATCGATGGAATTTATTTTTTCTAATTTACAAATTAAAACAATTTAGAATAATAAATTATGGGACTTCTTTCAAAAAAGTATTAACAATTTGAATATTAACAATTACTATTATTTATTACTATAAAAAATAATTATAATTTATAGTAAAAATTTAGTAAACAATACTATAAAATGTTAATTATAATTAATAGTATATATGTAATAATTATTACTATAAATTGATAATTATAAATAATAGTAAACAATTAGTAATTATTAATTATAAGGCGTTTTGAAGTGCAGTGATTGCCATTGGAGCCCAGTGGTGATACCTTTCCATATGCGAAAACCGATCGCTGGGGGTCAAGAAAACTTTATCGCATGAATTGTCAAAGCACTGATATGAAGGTATTTGTGTTGCTTTAACTGCGAAGTAGTTGTCGTGTTTTTCCGAGATGTGGATGTCAAGTAACTTATCTGTTTTTAGTGTTTTACCGCAGAGAGAGCAGACATTGGCGTGGTAGGCCATGACGTGATTCTCCATATCGTCAATTGAGTCTGTAGCGTAGTCGCATATTTCGCAGTAAAATTGTTTTGTTTGTGTTTCTCTTGTTCTCTTCATTTGAATGGATTTGGATTTAATAATAAATTCTATTAGAATTAGAAATTAAATTAATTAAATTAATATTATTAATTAAATTATTAAAATTCATTTGAAACAAAAAGTGCACCTCAATGAAAAGGAAAAAATTAACAGCTCGGTTATTTACTAAGACGCGCTTAATAATTGTTTCTGTACCAGACCGTGTTCCAGCAATAGATGTCCTCCGAAAGAGCAATGGAGAACAAGACGACAAAAATTATGACCAAGTACATTAAGAGCGCCGAAAGAGCTCTATATCCCCATAACTTCGTCTGTGGAGCGGGATTGAAAATCAAGAACAACTGGAAGATCCAAACGACTGGGAAGATGTAACCAAAGGCGTACAGTAACGCAGTCGAGACGTGGGATTCAGTCTTGACTGGAGCTTGTTGTGGGACTTGTTGAGCAGTCATCATTGGAGGGACTTGGAGTTGGACTGGTTGATATTGAACGGGTTGAACGAGGGGTTGGACATAGAATTGTTGTGGGGCTTGTTGGATATACGACATATTGATTTAATGAGTTCGTCGACCATTTTTATAGAGTCGTCGTCTTGAAGAGGCATAATAGACAATATGGTAAATAATAATTTGAATAGAATCGTATTGTTTGATTTTTACAAGCTATTACTATTTTGATGGATTAAAAAACCATATTTTGCAGCATAAAATGTGTCACAATGAAAAATCAAAAACTCACAAGACTCTCAAATCCAAAAAAATTTTATCTTTGTTTTGTGAAGAAATTAATTTCGTATTATAAAGAATAGGAGATTGCTCTTTATTTTAAAAAAGTAGAAACACGTCTCATTTTTTTGTTATTCTATATGGTGATAGTATTTTACTATTAATAAAACTATAATATTATAAATATTTAATAAATGGAATAGTACTAAAATTTATTAATATTATATATATAAATTTTAATAGTAAAATTATTGATTTATTATTATTATTATATTCTAATAATATTATTGGTTAATAATACTAGACTAATTTAATTAGTATTTTTAATTCTAATAATAATACAAAATATAATATAATAAAATTATAATAATAAAGAATCAACATTAAAAAAAAACTAATTTAATTAAAAATTCAATTAAAAAAAATATAACAATAAGTATAGTACAAATAATGATTTTAATTGTAATTATACATCTCACGTTATAATCAAACATATTCAATATTCATTAGGCTTCGCACCCGAGAATTTTACTATTAAAAATTAGTATTTAAAAAAAACTAATAAAACGGGAAAGAAAAATTGACCCGTTTTAATAGTGTACCATACAATACACAACAATTTAATAAATTATAACCATTCAAATTAATAAAGCGGTTGACTGTTTTTAAAAAGTTATTATTTATACCCTTTTAGTGTTATAATTTGATAATTACAATTTTACACCGTTTTTAATGGCACTATATTTTGGGAAAATAATAATTAAATAATGAAGTATAATATTAAATAATTGAATAAACAAAAATAATTTGATTTTAGTAGGTGATTGGATATTTATTTTTTAACATCTTTTTCAACTCCTTTTTTTATATTTTTTCTAAATTAAAAAGTTAAGATTTTGGTGTTTTTAAGTGTTTTATTTGTTTGTTTTTTGATAAATGAACTTTCTTTTTTTTTCGTATTTACAACATTTATAGTTATTTTGTATTTTATTATTCTTATTGAACAAAAATATATCAAATATATTAGTTTTGAAACTATTAAACAACTACAATAAAATAGAACTGAAGATTAATTTTCATTTTGATTGATATTTTTGAAAACAACAACAATATTTATTATTTAACAAAAAATAGTTTTACTAATGATAAATCAATTAAAATAAATAGTAATAAATTACATTAGGTTTTGAAACATGCAAATAGTATGCGTAAAACATTTGTAACAAAATAATAATTTTACCAAAAGAAAGAGTTATATCTATAAATAGTCTCAAATCCCGAAATTCAAGGCATTATTTCAAGCTAAAACCGGTACCACCCCCTTTCCACAGAACTTGAACAAAAAGGAAATGAATCAAAAACTCAAAAATCGCCAAATCCCATTAGATGTCGTTCATTGAAAAAATTAAATGTATGACGCTCTCCTCGGACGAGTCGACTCTTGTCAAGGCGACTCGAAACGAAGACCTTCCCCCCAAACAAAAATATTTAAACGAAATTTTGTATTGCTATCAAAATTTGGTCGACTACGAGTCGATGACCGACATAGTTGCTGAACGCGCAAAAGGGAGTTTTAAGAGTTGGATGGATTTCGGGCACATTTTAGTGATCATGTTAAGTATCGAAAAGATCGATTCAAAACATACTCTTCTCAAAAAGTATAAGAAGGAGACCTGTAAATTTAAGGATATCCCTTTAGGTACTAATTCTCACGAAAAACTGACAAAAATGTTCTCTGAGTATTTCGTTCGTCTTGTTGCTATGTACAACAGTTTGGGAATCGTCATCGAGGAGAACACTACTATTTTCGAATTGAAAACTACCGACAACTGGAGACGGTTGTTTGCAATCACGGGTTTGCTCTCTTTAATAACTTCATTATAACACTTTACTTTCTATTAATAGTAAAGTGGTCTTGACACGTGTACAACACACCCTCTTTACAAAGAGAATATTATACTATAATTATGAATGAGAAAAAGGAGAGCAGACAATTAATGTGTAGACGAACTGTTTTCTCACTTCGATTTTTTTAAATCTGTTGAATGGCAGAACACCGAGTTATACGTGTCTCCACTTTGCACTGTCATAGTCCAACTTTTACTTCGGGAGGCCGTCACAGTTGTTTTCAAGTTGGTATTGATTTGTGTTTGTTTTATATTATTATATTATTATATTATTATATAGAATTTCTAAGTGTAAGCATATTAAGTGTTAATATAATTAATTATTAATTAACTAAGAAATAAATAACCATATAACAACTATATATTAATTAAAAATAAACCAAACTGCCGTTTCAAGTGAAACTATATTTTATTATCAATTAACACTATAGAATAATTTTATTAAAGATATTAATCACATTCAACCGGTTCACTTAACTAAACTGGCTGAGACATTCACCAATTTGTCGAAGTGTATTTCATATATGAGCTCCGACTTAAAAAATCGAGTTCCAGAAAATCAAAGAGGATTGTTCCCAGAAGTCACTCTTCCTCCTACCATCTTCGAGGCCCTTAACAAAATTTTGATGAGTGGCGAACGGTTTGAACAAACTAAAGCTGCTCCTATTGTTGAACAAACGTTAACACAATACATCGACTTCATCAACACAAATGAAGCGCCATTTGACAACTATATCACTTCAATAGAAAATATTCCAGTGAACGACCAAGGCTCAAGATCATCGTCGACGTCGACTTCTAACTCGCGAAGTGGCTCGAAGAGTCGAAAAGGAAGTCAGAGCTCTTCGACACGTCCACACGTCAGACAAAATTCGTTGCACACGCCAACACAAGGAATGCCACGTTACAGTTACAGCGCGACGCCGCGAAAACAACGAGCGGGGTCGACAGACTACTCCCTCAACCCAACACTCGCCCCGGAAGGCACTCCAAATGAAAAGAAGAGGCATGACTCGGTTCAACAGATATGAAAGATGACGATGGAATAAGACGCGTATTTTGATTGTTTTGTTTTGTTAGAGAATTGAAGTGTTTAATTTAAATTTAAAGTGCTAAATTACTGTTTATAATACTGTCGATATCCTCTTGTCTCAAGTTCTTGTGCTATTTGCTCCATCGTTGAGTTTGAAATATCCATTTTTTCAAGAGGGTTTCCCATCACGTCTTGAAAGGTCAAGTAGTCTGCGTTCTCTTGATTAGTCACAAATATTGTCATTGGGCTACTAAGTGAGTCTGGTACAATTGTCGTATGACGGGTTTGTGTTGCATGTTAAACTATAATCAACTATATAATTAACTATATAATAACCCAATAATAAATTATTAAATAAACTATATAATTAACTATAAACAAACTAATTCGATATCTCATCGACTATAAACTCGCCGACACCCTCCCCTCTTGTGCACCTGATCCGCATCTCAATCACCGCCTTAAAGTATTTGTCTTGATTCGCTGCATACGCTCCAAGTAATACAAGTCCCAAAAACACTATCATTTCGTATTTTAAAGTTTGACCTTTTTTAACTTTAAATATAATTAGTATAAGAATAGAGCAGTTCTATTCTTATCAAAAGTAAAACTATTCATTATAATTAATTTTATTATATTTTTACTAGTAATGAAAAGGGACTTAAAAATAGAACAGCTGTTTCCCTTTTGTTTCTGTAAAACCAGTGAATGGAAACAAAGACTCAATGGTTTCTTTTTTAATTAAAATACTAATAAATATACTATTATATTATTGGTATACTTATTAATAAAAAATATTAGACAAATAGTAAAACACAAACACTCATTTCTTAAACTTGTCTTGAAGTTTCAATAGAGGGGCCGCTGGTGCCAAAAACGAAGGGTCGTCGAGGTTTTCCTTCTTCAAGAAAACCACAGAAGTTGGCTTTAAATGTTTCAGTTTTTTCTAAGAGTGAGTAATCTAATTATATAGTATTTATTATCTATTGTATAGAACAAACCTCGACTTTAGGAGTGTGGATGTCACAATAAAACACTTTAGGGATGGCAAACAAAGGAGGATCGTGGCATTGTAAATGGAAAGCTCTGTTACAGCCTGGGAAAGCACATTTAACATGGACGCCTTTTTGGTCGCAATACTCACAAACGTCTCGACTGTATTTAGAAACCTTTTTTGGAGGTTCATAGTCGGCTATTAGTTATTATTAGTTATTAATTTATTAATTAATTATTAATTAATTGTATTAAAATGGAGTCATCACTTTCAAACCTTTAAAGTGACGACTTGAAAAGTAACAAACTGTATTTGCTTATGTACTTTGGCACCTCAAATTGAACGGGGTTCACTGTTGTCAAGTACAAATGAATTTGATAAAAAGGGTCGGTTTTGGGGATCGTCAATTTGTTCAGTTGAAGCTATGTGTTAACCTTTTCAATATCATATTATACTAATATTATATTATACTAATATAATATTATAAATCTATGATAAAAATAGTATCTGTAATAAACTCACAAACTCGGTATGAGCACACACGACAGTACCACTCATGTGCAGGGATTTTTTCTTGAGCTATGGGAGGACACGCACACTGTAAATGAAACGAACAATCGCACCCATCACAGTACAATATGATGCCAAAGTTCTTCAGACAGCAATCGCAGTAATCGTGATTCTTCACTTGATTTCTCTTAACCCTTGGTTGGACTTCCTCACTTTGTTCTGACATGTCTCTATTTTGTTGTTTTAAGTTCCATTTTGATAACTTATGCTTTCTTAAAAACAAAAGTTTTTTACTTAATTTATCGGGTTCTCGAGTGAAATCAAATAAAACCGTCAATTTAAAAACAATACTAATATATTACTATAACAATAAACTATTAAATAAACCATAAATTTTATTATATAATAAACTATAAATTAAACTATAAATTAAACCATTAAATAAATTATAAATTTTATTATATAATAAACTATAAATAAAACTATAAAATAAACTATAATTTGTCATTTAATTTAAAGTGTTTTTAAACGCCTTGTAAAGCGCGTCTAAAAGCAATTTAATGTGTTTATGTGTAAATATATAAACCACTGATGTGTGTCGGCATTTATTTATGACAATACAATCAAGAACACAAATAGTAATAAAAATTATTTATTTGGGTTGCTTTGTGAATTATTTGAGAAGAATTTGTCTGTCAAAATTTGTGAAGACCTGACCGCTTTTTTGTGTTTTTTTGCTTGGAGTATTGGTAAATCGTTTTTAGTGATTTTTGAAGCGTCGATTTGTGGTAATACTGCACCGCGAGGGCTACGTGGGCTTTTTGGACTTATCATTTCGGCCTTAGTGATACTGGCGTTCTGTCTTTCATTTTGGTTCTTTGCCTCTTCACTCATAATATGTTCATTTCCTTTTTGATTTATGTTATCTACTATCTCTAAGTTGAGTGTCAAGTTTTGTGCCTTCTTAAGTTCCTCTTTAATACAAGGAATAGGTGGTCTCACAAAATCGTGCAAATCCTCAAAACTCGCAGCAAACAGTCTTGACTGTCTTGGGATAATGCGAGGTCCAGTCCCATTCTTTGTTTTGATATTCGTCAAATCATATTCCATCGGCTTATTTATGTTTTCTTGTTCTTTCTAATTTTACTATATTTTCTATCTATTTATAGTTATTATTTAATTGCACCATTCAGTTTCTAAATTAGTTCAATGAACTATTTTAATACCAATTCAATGATTACCAAAATAATAATTAAATAATAATTGAATAATAATAAAATAAACAATTAAAAATATTATTTAATTATAATTAAATAATAATTAAAAAAGTATTAAATTAATAGTAAAATATAATTTAATTATTAATTAATTATAAATGATACAAAAACTATAATAAAACTAGAAATATTCAAAAAGCACAAATTGGTAATTAGAAGCACTTATCTCTAACGTTGTTGATGATGTCAAGCGCCTGTTTCAAAGCGTCCAAATTCTGTTTAACAACTTTTCTCTCACTCACAAGAGCCGGGTTTTCAGCCAATAAGTCTTGAAGGAGAGTTTCGTTGTACATCTTCTTGATGAGTTCTTTTTGGATCGAGTCTCTAGTCTTGAACACCAAGAAATGGATGACAGCCTTTGGGACCAAGTCCTTAATACTCTTTCTCACAATCAACAAATAGTCTCTCGACAAGTTTCTGATCAACTCAATTTCTCTCATTTCTCTCTGATTTGTGTGATCCACCCGAATCGATGACGTCATCGCATTTTGTTGTGCTGGTTGGACTTGACTCGTTTGTTGTTCCTTTTTCTGTGTGTTCAATTCTTTAGTGAAGTGGCTTTGTTTTTTCGGTTGAGTTGTTTGTGGTTGCATGTTTTGTGCTCTCTTCTGTGTAGTGACATCAACAACAACATCTTGTCTTTTCGCAGTCATATTTTCAGGCGTTTTCATCGCTTCGTCGGCTTCTTTGAGCACCTTTGTAGTATCAAAATCCGGATGACTCGTGTTGACATAGTCCGCTTCTATCTATTGATAAGTATACTATTAAAGAATAGTATTACCTGTTTTACTATTCAATACTATTAAAATTACTATTCACTGATTTACTATTCAATATTATTAATAATAATTTAAAGAGTATAACTATTACTTTATAATAAAAAACTATAAAAATAACAAACGTCGATGATGTCTTGGATCATCTTATGTGCCTGGGTCATAAAAGTGTTCATGACTTCAGTTGAAGCTTGGACAAGTGCTTCTCTGAATCTGTCGTACTTCTCAATATTTTCTTTTGCTGTTTTAGCGACGATGTTTTTCATTTCGGAATAGACCGAGTCGACACACTGGTGGCAGCTCCCCTCGAAGTTCTTGACTTGTTTAGCAATTAAGTTCTCAAAAGCGGTCTGTGGGACATAGAGACATGGTCGAGTCCCACTTGCGTTTTTAATAGCCGTCAAAATGTCGACGTCTTTAATATTAGCCAAGATGTCTTGTGAGTCGATATTTGGTCTGAATTGTGTTTCAAAAACGGAGAAGATCTTTGCACCACCTGCCAACTCGTGTGCGTGGATATCAGTGTTATTCCCGCTCAACGCGTTTGAGAATGAAGTTGAGAATTTCATGATTTGCTGTAAGGAGACGGACAAGAGATTGTCGTCGTCGGGTTTGATCTCGTCGTATCTTTTTCTTGCCTTCTCAAAAGACTCATTGATTTGACTTCTTAGCGTTGGGAGGCATTTTTGGATATGTTGCAACAGTAATGTGTTCAGTTTATTCACTAAGTATTCCGTGCCCATTCGATCTGCTATAGAACAATACACGGGATGGTCTTCAAAGTACTTTCTTTCATTCTTTAATGATGTTTGGACGTCCATCCCATTATTAATGTCTTGTTGTGAACGATTCACTACACCTATATACCCCAGTTTCAATGGATAAACTCGGCCCATTAAGACATCCATCGAGTTGGTTCCTTTGTCCTCTAAATCTAATTTAGTTAAGACTCCAATTGTCCGCTCACCATCAGGATCAACTTCTTTGGCTACATGTAAAGCATCGGAATTCGCAATATCAACATTCCCAGAGGTAACAGCTAAGATCAACGCATTCTCTGGGGCTGCATATTGATACACCATATCTCGTAAATCCTTCACTAACTCTTTGGCTTGCCCAACTACAGAGACTTTCACTAAACCCGGCAAATCTACTAATGTCAAATCAACGACATTCGGAGAATGGATTCGTAAGCGAATCGGTGTCGATGAAACATTCCGCCCTGGACACGTCCGTGCAGTCTCCGCAGCTATCTCGTCTCGGATCTCAGAGAAATCAAAATATCGTTTGTCACCCGTGTGCTCAAAGAGGCCATACTCCTTCGGAACATCGGAACGAACACATTGGACTATAAGTGGTCGACGAGTCACTATCCCAGACCCCCGTGGTAAAAAGTCCTTACCAACGATATGCTCTAATACTGAGGACTTCCCTGATGACTGAGATCCAACTACTACTATTTGTGGGAGCGGGAGCGTGTTTGGAAGACCGGCGGCAGTGAAAACGTCTTGTAAACTGTTGATGACTGGAATTAAGCGTTGCATTTGTGAGTGGAAATTAAGATCACAAGAAACTTAAATAGGAAGAGTGAATCTGGTTTATTGGATCTATTTGTCATTCTGTGCAAAATATTGAAGAAATGCTGGTTTGTTTTCATGGAAATCTTCGGGCATTCCTAACACTCTTAAAACAAAATTTGTAAAAAAAAATGTAATGAACAATAAAACATAATTCAAAAAAAATGAAAACGACATTTTTATCTATTATTATTTTCTTCTGATATATATTAGCAAAATAATGTTTTTACTTTGATAATAACAGTATTTCACAGTTGTTATTCTTAATAGTTTTATATTATCAAATGTGTACTATAAATATAATTAATTTTACTAAAAACAACCATAAAATATATTATTTTTAAAAAACAATAGTTAATATTTGGACTAACTATCATTTTATCACAGTTTAGTTCCACAATAAATAAAAGTCTATAAATAGTATTCATATAATAATTGTATATGTTTAATTTTATTAACCAAACAAAATTTAATAATTGTATTTGTACAGACAGACAGAAAAAGCAATTTCTTAATCAAATATACTCCGTCACTGAGTGACGGGTTAACATATAGTAAGATAATATTATTATATTATTATATGGTATGATTATAGTATAATTATTATTATATTATTATGTTATAAACAATAATAAAAGTATAGTAATTTATATTTAACAAGTTACAAAGAATTGAACACTTGAAAGGAGTATAGAGGAGCAGGTACAAAGGCTGACCGGATTTGTTTTGTCGAAGACGTCTCTGTGTGTGTTTCAGAAGTTTCGAAGAGTTCTTTAGGGAAGTTTTGAATCGAGAGTGTTACTGCGTCATTATGGTACAAAAGGTTTTGAGCCATTTTAATGAAAGAGTAGTGAGTATCCGAGTTTTTAGTCGAGAGAGCGAATTTTTTGTTCGAGATGGCGTTAAAAGTGAAGAACGTAGAAGAGAGTTTTGAGTATTTTAAACCGACTGTATTGACATCGAGGGTATAACCTCTCTTTAATAAACACCACGCCAAGTAATTAGAGAATGCTGCTTCGTTCGACCGCGTATCTTTTTTCAATTGGAAGTTTTGAGGGGTGAGAATTTTCATATCATCGAAGGTGATTTTTATCTCAGGAGTTAAGACTTGTTTTGCTGTTTGAATAATATGATGAAGATTTGTTGTAAGGTAGTTTGAGTATTTCTGAAAGACAGTAAAGTCCTCGGAAAGAGTTGGTGCGTCTGCCCACATCACCTCTTCCCCACGAAGTACTTTTGGTGCGTAGTGAGATTCTTTCGTCTTCAAAAACCGGACTTGTGCACCTTCAAATAACGCTCCCATGAGTAACATAGCGCATGAGACTGCTTTCTTGTGCCGTGAGGTGATGTGCATCGTGGGTGTCATATTGTCACTCTTTTGCATCCCGTCGCTGTCAATTGCGAGTGTTTTCAAATTTTCTTTTTAATGATGCAATTACTAGAAAAGAATAGTTGTTATACTATTGCATTTAGATTCATTGGAACAAGTTAAGCATTTCGAGTTAATGTTTTAGTTGAAATATGAATAACCTCTATTTTCCCGAATCTTAATGCAATTCCAATCAACTATAAATGCTATAAATAATGGAATAGCAAACCGATTGGCATTCTCTAGAAGAAAACTCTTTGTTTCTATCATTAAAAAGAATTTATATATATTTCAGCTTATAATTCGGGAAATTAACTTAAACTATTGTAACGCCATTGGAATTCTCAAAAGAAATCATATCCAAAAAAACAACAACTGTGGTTCAGTTTTTTCTCGTTTTGGTCTAATTTGTTGACCATTTACTATTTGATATGGTTTAAAAAATTAATTTCAATGGAATTTGTTGTGACAAAACAATTGTTTTTAGTTTTATTATTAATTCAAAATGGTTTAATAAAACAAGTTCTTTGTGATTCAAATATCTATAGTCAAATGAAGAGCCCGTTTTTTGTATTGAACATATCTGACATTAAAAAAAATAAAATAGGGACAATTATGGCTTTTATTGACAATAGGTTTTGAAATAGTAAAAACAAAATAATAATTAGTCATCAAAAAGATTATTAATATTATTACTAGTTGTTTCATTATTAAATGAATAGTTCTATTTTTTTTAGGTAAAAACAATGAACTTTTGGTAAAAAAAATAGTCTCGAGTTAATGATGTTCTTTTGTTCATAGTAATTGTTGTCGTATTTTTTTATTTTTTTACAATTAGAAAATGTAATTTATGTACAATTTAGTTTAAAAAAGTTTATTGACGAAAAAATACAAATAAGAAGTAAAAATTAGAGATTTAAATTAAATTTTCGAACTGTTGAAAAAATAAAAAAAAATTCGAATAATTTTTCGAAATATTTTTTGTGTAATTCAAAATCTATAAAAAATAACAAAAAAATAATTTATTTTCAATTATATAGAACATTAAATTAAATAATAATAGAAAATAGTATAAAAAATAAATAAATTTTAACTATAAAAACTGTAATATTTAAATATTATTAAAAATTAAATACATTTCTAAAGCGAATGATAATATAATATTTTATAATATAATATATTATAATATAAACTTAATATAAAAAAATAAACAGATTTACAAAGGATATATTCAAAAAGTCAAATGACATATTTGCTCTATTATTTGCCATTATTTTTATTGATATTTTGACGAAAACAATTAATTGTTATTGGAGATTTAAAATGTAAAATTTTTTGTATCTTTGCTATTTCATCGTTTAAATTAAAACTGAAATTTCCAATTTTTTTTTGTAAATTACCAGGTAATTTACCATTAGTTTTCAAATAACGATATCGTATTTTATAGTTCAATTTAAAAAATAGAGACTTTAATTTGGTGTATTTTTGATTAAACTTAACTTGAAACGTTTATTGTATTATAATATAAAAAATGGTTTCAATTAATTAAAAAAAATAATCAAGTCTTGTGAAAAGCAAAGTTTTGCATCAAAAATAAATACAATAAAGTTATATAATTTAATATAAAACTGTAAATGAATTCGGATTTACTGGCTAATAATAATAATAGAAACCATTTATTTTTTCGGCAATCAAACACAAAAACACATTAAAAATATCAATAATTTCAGTACAAAAATAGCCAACCAAATTTTCTATTATTTTTTTAACATAGTTACTAGTAAAAAAATATTAAAAAAATAAAACTATATTATAGTTTACTTTTGTATTGAAATAAATTATAACTCTATAGTAAATTATTAATACAATAAATATAGCCAATAACTTTATTTTTGTTTGAAGTATTTAAATGATTTTATTATTCAGATATAAAACCATATCAATTTAATGCCGATAATGTTTGTCATGCATTTGTGAATGGCACTAATTCCTGTTATTTTCCATCAAAATATTCTATTACTTTTTTAATGGAATATCGATAGTATTATTAACCTATAGATGACCAAATAGTTTAAACTCACAAGATATAACTCTGAAAGTCCTCTGTTTCGCCGATAGAAAATAAGAACTTCAAATACGTTAACGCTGAAATGTCGGTCAGCCCTACGCAGCCTGAGCTGGACACAGAATCAGAGAAATGTGCAACAGCCCCTATTGTCTTTGAACAGAAAAGCTTTCCATCCTTTCGCTCAAGATTCTCATTTTCACTTCCTCATCGTTCAAAGAAACCAGCTCCAGACGACTTACAACAAAAATCGACAACATCCCCATCGACCACGCCACGTCATTCATTCTTCAAAAAAGATGAAAAGACTGAAAAGCTCGAGAAAGTTGAAACCAAAAAGCCTGAGAAGACTCGGATGTCATTTTCAGGAACAAAGGGGGATCCCAAAGTCGATTCGAAAAGTGAGCAATACCGTAAAAGTCCGCGAAGTATGCGATTTTCAGTCAGTGTGACTTCATTGGCAAAATCCCAACTTGTCGTGGAGATGTCACTTGTCTCGGAGGCGCAAGACGTTTTTGGCTCGGGGAAGAGCGAGTCCGACAAAATACGGACGTCCGACGATATAATGAAATTAGTGACTGCCGACGCGTCGACGCCATTGTTTTACAGTCAAATACCTTCAATTCAAAAAGCTAATAAAAGACTGTTAACCGAAAAGAAAATGTGCCAAGTTATTGTGGAGAACCACACGAAGAAAATGATCGACTGTTGGTCTTCCTTTGTTCTTCCAGAGGAAGAGTGGTCTCTCGAGTCCAAAAAGTCGTACAACGCAGACATCACAAAGTACAGTGAAATGAAAATGGAATATTCGGAGAAGTCCGTGACTAAAAAGACTGATCTTGCTTTGTACGAGTTGGTTGACATCGACAAGAGCTTCGTCTTTTTTAAGGACTTTTTCTATTCAAAAGGTTTGTTCCTTGGTAGTCTTGAGTCTTGGTAATAGTATCACTGTATTCACTGCAAGCTCGCACACAATTCTATGTATCTGAAGACACGGGAACACTCATCTGTTTTCAAGTTGTATTAGGGTTACAACTCTTATTAATATTTAGTAAATTGGGAGTACACCGCGCGCTCCTTACACAAGACATGAAGTGTGTGGAGTGGTGGAATTCTCTAGTAAAGAGCCCCGAGAAGTTCCAAAAGGTCAAAGTGAAGACTAAACTCCAAGACGAGTTGATTTTGTTTGAAGAGAATTTGGCCACGTCGCAATATAAATTTGGAGTGTTATACGCAAAACAAAAACAGACAACGGAGAGCGAGTTTTATACCAATGAAGAGACTTCCCCGGCCTTCCACAAATTCTTGAAATTACTTGGGAAGAGTGAAAGTCTTCATGAATGGAAAAAGTATAGTGGAGGACTTGACACTAAGAACAAGAAGACGGGGAACAAGTTTGTTTATACTCTCTTCCGTAACAACGAAATTGCATTCCACGTTGCGCCGTATATCCCAGACGATTTAACAGACCAAAAATTGGAAAGAAAACGATTTGTCGGTAACGACGTTGTTGTTTTGGTTTTCAAAGAAAAGGAAAACAGCGAAGACTTGATCGACCCTGATTTTGGGTCGCGATTTAATAACGTCATCATCGTCGTCTCACCAGAGAAAACATCTTCGAGTAACGAGAAATATCGGGTGTCTGTCGTGTGTCGAGGAGAAGTTAAACCCTTCCCTCCGTTTGTGCAGGATAGATGGTACCCACATGGGTCTGCTTTCTCAGTCCTTTTGTTACAAAAACGTTTGTTATTTCATATAATATATAAGTGTTATATTGACGTAATAGTAATTAATGCAGAAAGAATGTGTATGAAAACAGGAACACTGCTAGATAGTAGTCTACGTTCGAATGATATGTTATTAAAGATGATCATCGAAAAAATCCAAGAGTGAAATGGCTGCAAATCAAATGCAATTTAATTTATAAATATTTTATTTCAATTCAATTTTAGTCGTTTTAACACTAAAATAGTGGGTTTCGTTTGGGTAGTTATTGTGAATAGAATAAAACAAGGATGACACTATTGCATTATTATTGTTTATCATTTTTACTTCAAATTGAGTTAGAAACTAGACATTTTTTGTTCTGTTGTACAAATTGAATCTTGTTATATAAATACCAAAAGTTGTAACTATTGCAATTTTTATTATTCATACTTAAATAAATAACTTGTTATTTTTTTCTTTGGGATCAACACAATAGAGTTATGTTATACAAATATTTACAACAAAAAAACATGAAATTCTTATTAGACAAACATAAAGAAAATCTAAACAATTCAACAATAAACAATTTGAGCATTGACGAACGCCTGATCGTGCAATTTAATAATTAACCCTTCTAATACCAGAAATATGATTGTAATAACATATATTAATGAATATAAACTTAAATCCATAAACCACAAGTTATTCTAATTAAACTGATATTTAGTTTTAATATTGTAATTTACAGTTCCAATTTGATGTAACATTTATAATATATAAAAAGTTTGCAAGTTTTTTTGTATGTTTTACAAGTAATAAGTGTAATACAGTTTGGTCAAACGAAATAATTATTTTTTACAATGACGTAAATATATCATATAGTAATGTTTAAAAGAGTTTTATTACTAAAAATTATAGTGATATTATATTATATTCAATACAATTTTATTTTAAAAAAACCATTTTTGAAAAGACTTATTTTGTATAGTTTATTATACTATACAGAAAATTTTAAAAATAAAAGAAAATTTTTTTTATCTTGAAAAAAAATAACAAGAAAAATCTTCAAGTTTTTCTCACTGAAGTGAACCTTTTTTCAACAAAATACATTTTTATAATTTACTATTAATATATATTAAATTAAATTATTTTTTACTATTATTTTTTTTTGGTATTCCCATAATTGTAAAAAAATTAAAGCGTTTTTGCATTATTTCTCTCTGATTTACATCTAAAATGAATAAGATAAAAATAAGTTTACATTTTTTGGAAATTTTGGTACAGGAAGGGTTTCTAATAACACTTATTTAATTATTAAAAGCATTTTTACTTTAAATCGTTGAATACAATTCAAAAAGATGAATAAATAAACATAAAAAACGATTCAATCGAATAATTAAATAAATGGCGTTACTTAGCAGTTATCACATCATGATAGTCTCACAATACTTCAATAAAATAGAAGACTTTGTAGTTCTGGAGTTAGTTTGTAAAAAATGCCGCTTTAATTTGGACAAGTTTCATTTCAACCCAATTCGGTTGACCGACAAAACAATCAGGTACTTCCCAAACATTGAGACACTGCACTTATGGGATATACATGATGAGAACTTTGGAAATGGTTTTCTTGTCAAATCTGAATTTGGTTTTTTTAATGATATAAATGATGATAAAGACATTGTTGTCAAGAAAACGTTTTATGATGTAATAATGTGGTTCAATGTGGATTATGAAACTTATTTAAAAAACAAAAATTTCAATTACAAATTTAAAAATGTGACATATAATAAAAACGATAGGGAACAGTTTGGTAATACCATTCCACCAATTGTTTCATCAATTTCTGATATTTGTTTCGAAAGATGTTATGATTTGTGTGATATTGTTATACCACCAAATGTCATTAGAATTGGAAAATGTTGTTTCAGATATTGTCAAAATCTAAGAAGTATCACAATATCGTCAAGTGTCGTATCAATTGGTAATGAATGTTTTCGCGATTGTGCCCATCTTAGTGAGGTGGTAATACCTTTAAGTGTGACATCTATAAATAGTAGTTGTTTTGAACAATGTAGTAGTCTGAGGAACATAGTGATACCACCAAGTGTCGTATTAATTAGTGAATTTTGTTTCTATGAATGTGGTGGTATGAATTGTATTGATATACCAAGTGGTGTTTCATCAATAAGTGACAATTGTTTCTTTATGTGTAGCAATCTGAGCAATATCACAATACCATATTGTGTTGAATCAATTGGTAAAAGTTGTTTCAGTCGATGCAGCAGTCTAAATGAAATGATAATACCATCAAGTGTGACATCTATTGGTGAGTATTGTTTTAGTTATTGTATTAATTTGAAACATGTTGATGTGTCATCAAGTGTCACAACTATTAGTAATCATTGTTTTGATGGATGTAGTAACCTTATCAACATTAAAATTGGACCAAGTGTCAGATCATATGGTGATTATTCTTTTCGTGGATGTGGTAATTTGAGCAATATAACAATTCATTCAAAAGTATCGTCAATAGGTTATAATTGCTTTTGTTTATGTAACAGTCTGAGTACTATAACAATTCCGTCAAGTGTTACATCAATTGGAGATGATTGTTTCCCATCTCACACTATAGTTTATAAAACAAATTAATTTAATTTCATTTTTTATTACAATTGTTTTTTTTGGTATATCAGTATGAAAAAACATCAAACTTTTCTTTTCGTTGGTTTTTCATCAAAAAAAGTGAACAATATTGACCGTTATTTTTTAAATATTGTCATTTTGTCATAAAGACAATACAACATTATAATATATTCATACTCAGTCATTTTTTACAAAACTCGATTTGATTGTTGGTAAAAAAAATAAATGGTGTCAAAATCTTAAATAATTAATTTCAAAACAATCCTTTTTTTGTAAAGTTTTTTTAACATGGCTATTTTGCCGACTTTATTTCATCAATTTTTGTGTTACTGAAAATGGGTTATCTGCTTTTGTTATCATTTGGTATAATCTTTGCAAATACTATCACGTTTTAAATCGAACTGTCAATAATTATGATAATACGCTTCCAGTCATCAAAGACAATGGTATCTGCTTTTTTAAATAAATGGTTCATTTTATGATGATATAGAAAGTAAAATAAATCCCCATAATTATACTTTTTTAATAATAGTAAATAAACCAATTTATTTAATTGAAGAAATGGATGTGATGAGTATTCTTTCCCCGAATGAACGAAAGTTGATTTAGAAATTGTCGAGACCCACAGCCAGTGCGGAATCGCATATCTGATCCTTTTTAATAAAATCGTTTTTGTTTATAATTATTGTAAACGATAATATATTTGTGTTATGGATTGATAAAAATTTTAAACAAAAAAACTAATTCTATTATCATTTAAAATAAAATTAAACAATATCTAGAAAAACCAACCTGCAAACTATAAAAATAGGTTCTGAAAACTATTTAAAGTTTTTTTCAGAAAAATTTAAAAAAACTATAAATTACTATAAATTTATTATTTGCAGATGGGTTTTTCTGTGTGGTATGTTGGGTTTGTACATCACACAAAAAAAACAACAAAAAAAATCAATATTTTTCAGTAAAACGAATCAATTAAAAAACTATTAATATAATTAAAAATAATTATTAGAAGTTTTTTAAAAATATACAAGACACGTCATTGAAGTATATCATATGATATAAAAAGGGATTGATTATCATCAAGATAAACAATGCAAATATTTGTGAAGACCTTGACAGGCAAGACCATTACTCTTGAAGTCGAGCCAAACGACTCAATTGACGCTATCAAGGCAAAAATCCAAGAAAAGGAAGGGATTCCCCCAGATCAACAAAGACTCATTTTTGCTGGTAAACAACTTGAAGAAGGGAAAACGCTTTCTGACTATAACATCCAAAAGGAATCGACTCTTCACCTTGTCTTAAGACTTAGAGGAGGGTTCTAAAGCATTTTGTCTCTTAGCATTCATTATACTTCAATTTACAAATTATTATGATGTATTTCAACACAGAGAATAAAATAGTTGTACTTATAATAATAATAATAATAATATAAGAAATCAATTCTCCTTTTTCTCGTCTGTTATTTCCTTTTCTTTGTTATGCGGCTTTCTTGTCATGATGTCAGCAAACAACGAACCAAACACGATGCATGCCGCAATTATTTGTATCATAGAAATTGGGTGGTGGAAGAACAACACGGAGATGACCATAGTGACTATCTTTCTTGTGTTAGTGACAGCAGTAAGGAGCAACGTGTTAGCCAAATGAATGAGTCTGTATATCAAAAACTGCCCTAATACTGAGCATGTGACAAAGCACAATATGATGAGTGAGAACTCAAAATCGTTTCTAATGAAATAGAAGACTTGTGCCAAGTCTCCTGTGACAAGGGAAATGACAAGGAATGTTGGGACAGCAAATAAGTTGGAGTAAGCCATCACTCTGAATGTTGGTACATGATATGTATGTGTCACTATATCTTCCTCCGATGAGGCGATTCCATCAGCCAAGAGTGACATCAGGATCAAAAAGAGTCCGAAGAAATACGAAGCGCTTGTATACTCCGTGTCCGTCTTTTTTAAGTTGAAAATCTTTTCGCTGGTGAATAAAAAGACTCCGAAGAAAGTGATAGAACTGAATACTATTTGTCTCATGGTGTACTTTTTTGTGAAGAATATTGTGAATAACAATACCGTCACGGGTTTAAATAATTTTGTTATTAAATGTGTAGGATAGTCAATGTATAATAAAGCTTTATTAGAAAAGAACCTTTAAGTCATTTTTTATCACTTCAAATGAATAATTTTAGTTCAAAAACAAACATCGCGCCACAATATGTTTGACTCAAAAGAATAAATTCTTTTTTTGGAAAATGGCCACTATACTCCTCGTGAAATACTTTCATCAAAATAAGTCCAGCACACGCTGAAAACAACGCTTGTGCCAAAACTAAAGAACTCGTTCCTGTAAATTTGATTTTTTCTGCAGTAAATGGTTCTCTTGTACTTAAAGTGAGTAATTAATAAATTATAATAAATTATAATAAATTATACTGTGTTAATATTATTTGGACTGATGGAGTCAAAAAAAAACAAACAGATATTCAGAGATAAATGAAACTGACAAAAACGATGAGACAAGCAAAACGGCTGTGATGAGAATATCAAAATTTGAACGAAGGGATGCCATTTTTTGTCTTTACTTTTTTAGTTTTGATTCGATTGATTAATATAAACTTCTTTTCTTCCCATTTTTGTTCTTTAATTTATTAATTTATTATACTTTAAACAATTATAATACTATTTGTTTTTTTTTATTCATTTTTGGGTTTTTAATTCCAAAATGTATTCATATCAAAAACTAAACACAATAAATCTAATACATTTAACTATAACAAATGGTACAGTAATATACCACAGAGCATATCTTCTTTGGTATAAAACTATAAAAATACTAAAAAATATACTATACCAATCACATCAAAAAATTAGTTAAAGTTCCTCCTTGACTGGGATAGTCATTTCGCCACACACATCCTTTTCCATCATCTTTCTTAGATCAATGTCCTTCATTTTTCTTCCGAACAAATTTGCCAATTTTGTGAAGGCAGCGGACACAGTCATATCTCTTCCGTTGATCACATGCGCCTCTTTAAGACCAGAACCGGCTGCATATGAGTCCATATTAACATTTCCATTCCCACATTGCGTTGTGTCTACCATGACAATTCCCTTGTTATCGGCATACTTCAGACCTTCGACAAAGTCTTTACTCTCAGGCGCATTGCCTTCTCCAAAGGCTTGTATAACGATTCCTTTGACTCCGGAGTTAGCAATTGCCTTAATGATATTGCCCGTAATACCCGGGTAGAGTGTAACCACCGCGACTTTGCTCGACATGTTTCTGTGATATTTCATCTCCCCCTTTGGCTGTTCTAAGACAAGTGGGTGGTTCAATTCAAATCGCAAATCAAGCTTCGCAAGGATCGGGTAATTGACCGACGAAAACCCTCTCAGTGAACTTGCCGACGTCTTTGTCACTCGATTTCCTCTCATCAACAACCCTCCAAAGACCATCACGACTTCCGGTATATTCACATGTGCTGCAATTTTCAGAGAAGATATCAAGTTGTTTTTAGCGTCAGTATAAGGCTCTCCAATAGGTATTTGGGAGCCCGTAATGACTATCGTCTTCTTCAAATTCTCAAACATGAAACTGAGCGCACTAGCCGTGTACTGCATTGTGTCTGTCCCGTGTAACACAACAAACCCATCATATTGTTTATAGTACTTATTAATGATATCGCCTATTTTGACCCAATCTTTAGGTGATATAGATGAACTGTCCAACAACGGGTCCATCTCAACTATATCAAAATCAACTCGACTCTCACTTTGTAACTCACTCATCCCTCGAAGGATGTTCGACATATACCCTTTTTGTGGGAATAACCCCTTGGGGCCTTTCACCATCCCTATAGTCCCTCCAGTGTACACTATAAGTACTCGACTCCCCTTCGCCTTTTTATTCCATTTGTCGACTTGTGACCATCGATACCGCTTCGCTGTCTTCGATGATTCAGCATCGGAAATCAAAAGAAAGAAGACTAGAAACAATAACTGCATAGAATAGTATATTTTGAAGTTCAGTCTTTTGAAGTTCTTGAGTTTTGGTCGATACTATATTAAAACTATTTTAATAATTAACTGTATTAAAATTATTAATACGTTTCTTTCTTAATAGACAATTGATTCGAAGACCAAAATGATTTTCAAATTGATTATCAAACGACTTTGTTCAACTCAATAGGAATAAAAATTGTTCTGAAAAATCGGGATTAATTCGTTCACTTTAAAAAATACTTTTCAAGTAAAAAACAGGAAATTCAAAAGGCAAACTGAACGGTTGAAGCATTTTGGTGCTCATAGCAACTCGACAAAACTGAAACGGTGAATCCAAAACTTAATCAATGGCAGTTAAACACTCCTCCCCCACAAAACTCTCTTAACACCGAATTTGGTGCGAATCCCACCGAGTCCATTGGTAAGTAGAATGAGAGCAATCGGAGATATGATTGTGCAAATCCATACAGAGGGTCGTTGGGGTTAACTGCGCGGAGCAAACATTGCGAGAACGTGACGAGCAAATTGACTTCATATGCCATGAACGTGGTGTAGACGAAATCCGCCTCTTTGATGTACGGGTAGATCCAAATCTTTTCCGCGCCGGCAACGTTGTCCCAGACTTCAAGAGTGCGTTCGACGGGGTATCCTCTAAATAACATATCTCTGACCATTCGGCGTTGAATTCGTAAGAAATTGTTATCTAAGACGACATCATCAGTCAAACACACTGAATGAGAGACTGGCGCTATAAAGACCTTCACTTTCTTCTCATGAGGTACCTTTTGTGTCATTCTCTCATCAAGACAATGAATCCCTTCCATGATGATTATACCCCCGCGCGCTAAAGAAGCAGACGTCCCCTTCCCAACAGTCTCCGTTGACGTCGCGAAGTCGAAGTGTGGGATTTTGATCTCTTTGCCGTCCATTAAGTCACAAAGGTGTTGATTAATCAAGTCGAGACGGAGCGCGTCGATGCGTTCCCAGTCGCGCTGTCCATTCTCATCAAGAGGACATTTGTCTTTATTGACATAGTAGTTATCTACAGACATCACAAGTGGCTTATGACCGATTCCCTCCAACGCAAGACTGACTTTATGAGCAAAAGTGGTCTTCCCCGAAGAGCTTGGCCCCGCTATTAATATCAGTTGTGTGTCTTTCTCCTCGACTTTATCAATCAACTTGGCCAATTGCCGCGTGTGGTAATTCTCGGCTTCTAACACGTTCTCGTCGTACGTCCTTTGTGTGATTGTTTTATTGACTTCTCCAACATCCAAATTGTTGTACAACTGACATGTAGGAATAGGGTTTTGTTCCATCGTGTACGAGTCCGTCACCATAAAGTCGGGGTAATCCAAGAAAACGGTTGCTCCTTCCAATCTGAGCAACGCCTTCTGTTTGAAGACACTTGGGTCCGACACAAATGGTTGTGAAAGAGTCAAGGTATAGAATTTGTCAAGTGAAATGCACTCATAGAACGGGTTGTTCAAGGAACACACCAACGAAAGCGAATGAAGTTGCTTCGTCTCAGTAAAGAACTGTTTGCAAGAATTGAATGACATTCGAAGTGGTGTTAAAACTCTGTGGTGAAGGGCTTCGTACTCTTTATAAACAATTTGAAGCTCTTCGGGCGTCAAAAGCGGGTCAAGAGAGTACTTCGTCCCATCGCCAAATTCAGCTATAACAGCCATTCGCGTGGATGGAAAAGTCTTGTGTAACGCAAGACGGAGTAAGAACGCTTCGGTGCGGCGACACATGTTTTTACCTTCAACAGAGTCAATGTAGCACGGCGCAACCTCACATTCTGGTGTTAGTATGTAACTTGATAGGGTCTGTGCAATGCCATTCACCTTTAACCCGACAACCTGTGACGGGACATTTTCAATTTTGAGCTTCTCGACAACGTCAGAACACTTCACGGGGAAGGCCAAAGTTGTCGTCTGTCCTTTAAACCAGATGCTTGTCATACTTTTTTTCAAGATACTAAGATTCCTTCGATTTTCATCAGACACTCCATTGAACTATAATTAAATCGTATAAATATAATATTTTAATACCATTCGAAGGGAGTTCTTTTTTAGTAGAATGTTTGAAATGGACTCGTTGATTTAAAGTGTAGAAGAATAACAAATGCTAAAAAATGGTATTGGAAATGTTATTAAGAAGCAGGAAATGTTTTTGGATGTATTTTTGAGAAGTTTTTTAAAGGGGAGCACCCAAAAATGCGTCGAAAAAGCTTCTTGGAACTAAGAAAGCCAACAGAAATGGATTTTGGAGTGTTTGTTGCAGCAAAACTCCCGAAATAATCCACAAGACATTCCAAATACAAACGAATTGACCAAAATGGAATCTATTGAGAAAACCACACAGACTAGTACTTTAACTATACAACTCTAGTTTTTGAAAAGTTTTTTGTGAATTGACAAAAATAGAGCTACGAGATAATAGAATAGTAAAATAAAATTAATAAAGAGCTATAATTGAAATAGAGTCTGACGTGGTTTCTTTTCTGGGAGTTTTTTGTCTCAAATCAATAGAAATTGAAAAAATGGTCGGAGATTCCCAAAAATACTTTTTGAGTGCAGTTGCGACCATTTTTCTAGCAAAAACAATTAAAAAAGAAGAGGAGCATTTCTGTCTTTTCAGAAATGTTATGGGGTTCGAAAAATGTGTCTTTCTGCTTTTTTTTGGCGACAAACGGGCGAAGAAGGAAACTCAAATTCAGTCAATGAACGTGACTTCCCCACACGACCTTTTAGCTCCTCCCCAGCCCGACATACAAAATATGCAGGACACCTCTATGGGTCTCGGACTGAACTTTGCAGACAAAGGCCCGGAGTTTATGAACACGGACCGGACTATTAAGAAGCTTGAGAAGGGATTTGTGACACTCCGCCACGGTCCAAACCAATATTTCTATTGCCTCCATTGTGACAAGTGGTTTAAGAAGTCACAGACGGCCAAACACACGAGCGAGACGATAGGAGCCGACTTGGACATAGCAAAGAAAGTCCTCTTCTATAAAGAGAATATGGCTTCGATGCAACCGCAGATGTTACACTCCTTCAATGACTTTGTGAAGACCGTTCAAGTCCGGAAGAAGAAGGGGGCACTTGACGGTCTGCGGAAGAAAGCTAATATGAGGGAGTTAGTCGGCTTTGAAGCGAAGAAGCCGGGAGGAATGCAACTTGGACTTGAGAATTGTAACCTCCCAAATTTGAATATGATGGCACCTGAAGAGAATAAAATGAACGAAGAGTATACACTCGAGTATAACATTGATAACTACGATAAGTGGGATATGAGTATCATCTGTAAATATATCAAAGAAAGGTGCTTTGTCAACGAGGAAATGAACATCCAAAAAGTCGTCAACGTCATCACACGGCTGTTTAACGGCGAAGAACGACTGAAGGATAGAAGACTCATTAACTCCGTCCAACGGAAGAAGGCGGATATCGTCTCCGAGATCATCTCCGACATATTCGTCAGAGTCGGGCTGACACGACAACAAGTCACTGAGATGAATTCGATCATTCAAATGACATTTGCTGTTCTGTCGCCACAAAGTGTCGGGATCATCTCGAAAGTACATACAAGTTATCAATCGTGTGTGAGAAGGTCTGTCTCGAACGGTACAATGAACGAGAAGAAGAAGAAGTAAATCATTTGTTTTCTATTGATTTGGTGAGGTAAAGTGTTTATTGAATGAGGAGACAAGAATATGAGGATTTGTGGTGGAATAACTGTACATGTGAAAAGAGCGTTTTTATATAACTTTTTAATATTATTTTTATAATATTTTTATTATAAAGGAAACTATAAGTATTATTGGTTTCAAAACACTCGTTGTTTGCTTCAATGTGTGGAGAATTTGACTGAAAATTTAAATTCTTTCAATTTATTATATTTATTATTTATAATATTATAATTCATATTAAATATTACAATTCGTTAAACTAATCTTTTGAAAGAAGCTTGCCTTCTGAAAATGGTTTTTTTATTATTACTACTAAATAAACTATAAACAACTTATTTATATTATTTTTAATTTGTTACACATTAATCAAAATTATTTTAAAAATATTGTTTTTAATATTTTGCTATTAATTATAGTATTATTATTATTAAATCAACTATTTTTAAAAAACAATCCCAGAAGGCTAGCTTTGGGAAATGTTAATGTTTGTAAAAAAAAGTATTAAAAACCAAAACGATACTATTATTATTTGTTAATTAATTAGTGTTGTTTATTAATAAAAAATGTCATAAGAACTAGTTTATTATATAGTTTACTCTAGTATTACTTCTAGTAACTAGTGTTTAATGAGTTCAATAGAAAGTTCATAAGATATCATCATCATCTTCATCACCATGTACACCGAGAATACATGACGCGATATCGGACACCTTCTTCACGTGATTTCCAGATAATTCCTCAACGATGTCATGCAACCCACTTTCAATGAAATAGTGATTTGTCCCCATTTCATTCTCCTCAGAAAAATCCATGAAGTTTTTGAGTGTTATTAAAGCGGTTGTGACCGAGTTAGAATCCACGTCGGGGAGTTTCAAATAGTTCAAATAGATATAATACAGTTGTTGGCAGATGAGGTACTCCTTGTCTTCCTCTGAGGACATTTGGAATGCGTTATTGAATAAAAAAATGAGTTGTGGGAGGTCGGTGTCACTGAACATATTTGGCTGTGTTGTTTCTTGGAAGATGTACGAGAAGATGTTATAACTTCTCAGCACGGCGACGGCACGAAACCCCATCAAACAGAGATTTCCAAAGAGAATGAAGTAATTGCAAAAAGACAGACTTTTGTTGTCGTCGAAAAGTCTGCAAGACTCTTTAAACGCTTGAGTGACTGTTTCTAAGACATTCTGATCCATCAATTTTTGTGCATATTTCTGCTTAAGTACCGAGACGTCGATCAAAAAGTTCAGAGCACTCTGTGACACTGTAGATTGTACTCCATCAAGCTCACTTGCTATTGTTTCTAAGAGATTTGGCTTACTCAAGAGAGTTTTGTGGTTCGGTTTTTGCATCACAAGATTCGACAACGACGCCAAGAAGTTGTCTGGGTAATTCGGGAGTAAAAAGAAGAGCGAAAGTAATTGACTCAAATACTCTAAAGGTATCACAAAAGTCCGAGTGATTGCTTCTAAACACGTCGCGACAGCCTCGACCATTTCCGTCTCTTTAAAAGTGTTCAAAGTACTCACCAATTTTGGAATGAAGACATTCACTGTCTCTTCAAGACTAAAAAAGTGGTCGACCTTTGTGAATGTCGCCAAAAGACTTAAAGAGTTCATTCGGACCGTCAAATCAGTGCTTTGCATATACAACAGACAGATGTTGTGGATATTATTCTTCTTTAAGTATATCGCGTAGACGTCGTTGATAGTCGCCATATTAAAAAAGATCCAAAGAATGAATGCGACAGTCACACATGATGAATTGGGGTCGACCAACACTCGAAATAAGTCAGAAAAGATCTTTAAGTCCATCATCGCGTCTAAGCATTTATACCCCGTTTTGTGACACAAGTACTTCACTTTCTTGACACACATTTCTACGTCTCTGTTATTGTGAAGATCTTCACTGATTTGGTAAAGATCTTTCATATCAACTTTCACACTAAAATTCGTGAGAGAAGGCTCTTGGATCATCCGTCTCGAACGAAGAATATTCTCACGACGCGACTGTCGAATTGGAACTATCGTTTGGGACGACGATGCACATACCTCTTGAAATGATGGACTCTTCCGATAGCTCATTAATTATTTAAACCAGTTTTGAGTCACTTTTCTATAATATTATATTATACTATATTATACTATATTATATTATACTATATTATACTATATTATACTATATTATACTATATTATACTATATTTTACCATTGGCTTATAGTTTCTGAGTGAGATTAAAATTAACGATACAATTTTACTATTATTTATATATAAAATTGTGTAAATAATTAATGTATTATATTTAATTAAAACTAATGGCTCGTTAAATATAAAAAGGTGTTATTTAATACAATAAAAAATTAATACAAAGCTAATGAACTAGAAAAGAAACTAATGGAAATTGAACAAGAGATAGCATGTTTGTACAACCGAAATGTTATCCCTCTTGAGGTTGGGGAATCTCCGATGCGCGTGTTATTGAAGTTTTATGAGCAGTGTTGTCCACATCCAATCGATGAGGAAAAAGACTTCATCACGACTGATCATGTCACTTTGAGAAACACCGCAATCAACTCACTCATCGGAAGAGGTGAGATCACTGACGAGAAAATTCAAGAGGCAATGAAGTCACACATTGAAAAGCAACGCGACTTCCACATCAATTGGAAGTACAGACAGGCCATGAGATTCCTTTCAATGTATTAACTCTTAATAATATTAAATTTATTGACTGTCTTTTTCTCTTTTTACTTTATTGTATTATTCATTCTTGATATTTTTACTATTATTCATATTAAAAAGTTATTTTTAATATAAATTAAAAATAATTATTATTTTATTATTATTTATATTATTATTTTTAATTGAATAAAATAAACAATTTACATTATTTACTTTATTTTATAAAATACTATTTTCTGATAAAAAATTCACATAAAATCAATTTAAGAAAATTTTATTATATAATAAAGAAAAAAGAAGGAAACAGAAAAAGTTCAATAAACCAAATTAAATGACAATAATTAAATGTATCTAAAAGCAATACAATTAAAAAATTACAAAAGTAAGTACAGATAGCGGAATGTTTTTATGTTTCATGAAATGGGTGTTATAGGAGATTTTATATTTAAAATTAATAAACATAGTTTTAAGAATACGTCAATACTATTTTTCTTTTTTCGAAACCACGAAAGACTTGAATTTTGAACCAGACTGTTTCATTCACAATTTTATAATCATCCTTTTAACTATCGTACATCAAATAGAATTCTTTTTTATTTGTAACATGTTTATTATTTGAGCATCGTTTAAAACTAATCTGCTTCGAAATTAAATAATTTATTTGCTTTATTTTTTGGAAAGTTCGTTGAATCAATGAACCATAATGTCATTAGATGTAGTTGTTACTGATTTATTACTATTTCTTCTTCATTATATTTTGACGAAATAATTGTATATTTTATTATATAAAATAATTATTTTTGAAATTGTATAAGAAAACAACCAAGAAAGTGATATTATTAATGATAAACTTGTGAAACAATTGATTTTTATAATTATTGTATAAGTATACAACTCACATTTCAAACTGAAAGAAGAAACGAATTTTGTTTCATATTCAAATGATTTTCTTGATATTATTGCTTTCAACTGATTGTGTATAACAATTGGTAAGTTACTTTTTATAAATGTGATAATATTTCAAATATTTTGTATATTATCAATCGAATCAACAAGTTGTTATTTATTTATTATTGTGTAATTTCATTTATAATAATAAAGCATTGAAGACTATTTCAACTTTAAGTTTTACATGTAAACGATTGTTGTAATTTTATAATAATTTGTTAAAATACTTTATTGTTTAAAAGTAATACAGGGGTGAAACTGAAGGTATTAATTTGAAAGTGGATGTATTAATTTAGGGTTCATTTTCTTTTAATCTATTGGCCAAAAACGAACTAACATGTAAATCATTAAATTTAAGCCGTTTAATGCGACATAACTACAACAAAAAACAAGTAAAATTGGACAAAAACCACTATTTCCAACACAGTCACGATTTTTGGAAAAGGAAAATATAGTTAATATTATAGTTACAAAATTATAAAAATTATTATAAATTTCAACACAAGAAATTATAACAATATTAATTATTTACTATACATTATATTATTCTTGTTTATAATAAATTTATCATTATTTTGTTATTATTCAAACAACACTCGACATAAAAATGATTTACGATAATTTGGGTTGTGTTTCGCGGCCTTCACGACCGGCCTGCGTTTGAAAAACACAAACCAAAGTGTAATAATGAGCTGCATTAACCAATCTGAACGTCAATATAACATTTTTAAATAATTGTGTTGATAATAAATAAACAAACAAACCATAAAGCTAATACTCACCCACACATTAAAATACACTTAAAATATTTATCAAGTTGTAAACGGGTTGTGTTTTGTCTTAAACCCTGAAAATACAATTGAATAATAACAAATTTACTATAATACACCGTCAATTATTTTTAATGGTTTAATTATAATAATTATTACTATTGATTCATTTTTTAACTTTAGCTGATTATTAAAAACACACAAATTCATGATGAATTTTTATATAACCATTGATATAATTAAAATACTATTAAAATATTAATATGTTGGAATCGTTACAAAACATATTTATTGATTCTTTTCATTTTGTTTGCATTGTTTTTCATTGTCAAATTCAAATCAAGGGGGTTGGCTTATTTTACGAATCATAAAACCCAGAAAAATGCCAAATTTGGCATCAAAAACCCTAAATTAATACATCCGCTTTCAAACTTATACCTTCAGTTTCACCCCCGTACATAATATTTATCAGACATAAAATTTATTGAGGGTTAAAAATATAATTAAAATAAAAAAATGAGAGAAAAATTCTCATGATTTTGAATAATCTGTATGCCTTTTCTTGAAGTCTAATACACGCTTTTCCAAACAACATGAAACAGAAAATATTGGTATTTTGTCTACTTCACAATAAATGGATAGAGAAGTTTTTAAAAGGAAGTTACTTGGAGTCACACTTAAAAACAATCCGTTTTATTTCATTGTAGAACAAACAGCTTTTGAAGAATTTGTAAATTCTGTTAATACAAATTCAACTGAAATTTTTACAATACGGTTACTTGATGAGTGTTGTCACTTGGAATACCATTGGTTAATTTACATTGCATTACAACCGATGGTTGTGCTACCATATGGGTGAAAGTTTTGAAGCGGAACCAAAAGTAAAAACGATAGAATCTGTTTGTCAGTGGTTTTGTAAAGAAGAAAGAATTAAAGACTTTAAAAAACAAAGTAAAAATGTAAAAATGGGAATATTTTCTTATTGTTTCAAGTGATGGATGTACATATACAACATTTTGAATGATATTACTTTAAATTATAAAATTTTTAACAAAGTATATATTTGATATATAAATTGTTTTAAATTATTTACTTGATTTTTTTAAATAGTACAATTTATACAAAAATTGATATAAAGGAAATATAAATTAAAAAATTAATAACTATAGAGTATTTTAAAATTATAATTTTATTCCTCAAGTTCCATTCAAGAAAGGAATAGTTACTGAAGACACAAAAAGAACTAAGGTGTTTATTGGTTATAATAGTTTGATAAGAAAGGTCGAAAAAACAAACTTTAAAGATATTACCAAACTGGAAAAATTTTTGAAAGTTCACTACTTCTTAAATTAAAGTATCGAATTTTGACTGAACTAACTATTAGATACAATAACGTGTCACACTCAGTAAATATGAACATAATTGGTGGTCTTGTCGACTTTTCAAATTACATCATTGATTTAACTGTTTGGGACAAAAACCAAGGCCTTACTGTAATGATGGTATTCTGGCTATCACTGACATTCATGAACGTAGTAAAAGCTTATAGCATTAATTGATAATTACAAGAATTTATTAGTAGAAGTTGTAAGATTAACTAATTATTTATATAATTGCAGTGAACGTGAATTTAGAAAATATCATAAAAATAAAAAAGAGTTGCAATAAACTTTTGAGATGTTGACAAAATAGCAATACGGTTTCATTCTGGTCGACAATAATACAACATTTAAACAATTTTAACTTTTGGAATTACAAAGTTTTGTTGTAAAAACAATGATTATTTTTCTTGCAACAATGGATGTAGAAATGTTATTTTCAAAGATGAAATGACCTATCATCAAAATAGGATATTAAAAATAAAATTTGAAAAATACACGTTGTTGTTTCAGCTTCGAAACAGCATGCATAACAACAGATGTATCTTTTTAATTGAATTGACTAAATTAATGTTTTTTTAAAAGTTTTTTCAATGTTTTCAATTTATTAATTTTTGAAATGCAATTTTGTTTTCAATGATAATAGAATTTAGATAAAGTGGATTATACATATTTTCATTTCAAATAGTACTTTTTTCATCGAGGTGACCCGAATTCTCGCTTTCAAACAATTGCATTGTAATCAATGCACGACTTACACCAAAAATTGAATGAGATAATCAACTTTTTATCTATTTATTTTTTCAGTTTCTCTTTTCTAGTTGAACAAAATTAAATTAAATTAATTTGGTTTGGATTCTTAAACAATGTTGATTTGTTGGTTTTTGTTAAAATAAATCGATGTGATTGTGTATGGAATTAACTTTATAATTATAAAACAAACCATGTTTTTTAAATAAACAAAATACTTATAAGTAAATTTGTTTATTATTTTAAAGTTGTAAATATTAAAAAAACTATTTTTTATAGTTTATTTATAATAAAAATTAAATTTAATTGAAAAAATAAAACAAACATAACAAAACCCTATTTTAATTTCAATAATTATCTTTTAACTAGTATTGTAAAATTTGTGTATTGAACTATTTAAGTTGTTTAAACTTATTACTACATTGTTGTATCATACAAGTTGTATGGTACAACAATGTAGTAAAAAACAATTGATACACATTTCAATTATTATTGATGATGTAATTAACTCATACATATTCGTTTTCTTTTTCATTTTATCAAAAAACAGATGCCAGCAGTTGAGTTCCAAATTCCTGACAATATGTTACCCAGTGGTGTAATTGGTAGGGATGGAATACAATCATGAAGAACTTAAAAAGAATAGGACGAGATTACTTAGTTTTAGACTTTTTGATATTATTATTATTATTAAATAAAATAATAAAATATAATTCTTTTAAAAAGTTTCTCTGTTTTTGATTATCATACCTTTTAAATAATAAAAGGAAAAATTGTTTCAAAAAAGAAATTATATCCATTTATTATTAAATAATTTCTTGTATCGTATAAAACCTATTTCATTTTCACTCAAATAGTCAATATATTTTGAGTTAATTAGTGAATATAATCAACTGCAATTGTCTGTTATTTTAAGATATCTGATAAATGTTAAAAAATGATTTCCAACATTTTGTGTTTTCTATTATAAGCTCTTCATGTATGTTTAATATTATTAATATTAATTATAGGCACAACTAAATATTTATTGTTTTTTAATTGTTATTTTCTTGATAAACTTAATGTAATTCTTCGATTATTGTTACTGTTTCTGTTGGATATTTATATGGATTATTTTTATGTATGGCTGTATTATTTTTTCGAATTGTCTTCGGAATCATAATTTGTTGAATTGAAG